ACAGATGTTGGTACTTAGAGCTGCACGAAACTTTGCCAGGTAAATAACAAATTGCAGAGTTATGAACTGCTTCTGAACATGCACAAATATATTGCATGGCACAGCAGTTTAAATACATTAGTCACTGTATGCAGTTGAAGAAAAACAGCATCTTCCAATCTTTACATTAAAACAAGCCAAATCCAAAACCCAACCAGGTAAATGCACATTTTTCCCCTGTTGATTTTGGATCAAGTTTTAAGTGAGAACTGATGGTAGACAGCAGTTTTAACCACTGGAGGAGGAAAGCAATGACTGATGTTCAGTGCTGGTTTACTGTAACAGTAATGGACTATTAAAAAATATAATTACAAAAGAAAAGACACTTATACCAAGTTTCTGAAGGTGCTACTTGATGGCTTTTTACATACTATCAGTTTTCTAGACTGTAAAATGCAAGACAACACAGATATCAGAAGTCATCAGCCTTCTCTAACTTCTATCCATGTCAATTAACAGCTGCAGTTAATTTGTGGTTTTACTAATTTATGATGTAAGGCCCTGCTCCATCTTGCTGTCGAGTATGGTTTAGTGTAATGGCTAATAGAATGTTCTTCAGCTTGTTCAGATTTTTTTGCCTTTCCTGTTCCTGCAGGAAGTGTAATACTTGACAAAGTTAACTTGAAATAAAAATTTGTCACCTGCCACTTCAGTGCTTCATCTGTCTCCTACTTGCAGGACACATACAATGAAACCATTTAAACCTTTACAAAGCTTTAAAAGTAACTTTACTGATGGAAAGATTGTGAATTTGAGCTAGAATTTGCTTTACGATTGACAAAGTGCCCCCCCCTTATTAATTTATTGCTATTTTTATAGAATCAGAACATACCTCCTGTTGTGGATAAAACAGAAAGGCTTCTCAGGCGAGTTCATTTGACCTCAGTCTGGCATCAGGATGACACCAGATAGGCTGTGCACCACCTCTCCCACCTCCTTTGCAACTGTTACTGCCCATGCAAACCCTATAAACCTGGCTGACCCTGGTAGAAAGTGAAGGTCGGGACATCAGCAGCCTTCATCAGTTCTCCCAGTATCAGAACCATTAGCCTGGATTCCCAGCAGCGTGCTCAGTTAACCACTCTGTTCACTCTGCTTGCTACACTTGGTCCTAGACATACCACTTGGAAAAAAAGAAACCTTGGGAAAAAAGCACTGCACAGAGTACTGACAGGGTGATCAGCTTGTTCATTTTGCCACGCTTCCTTGAGCTTCTGAACTTTCTAGATTGAACACACCCCAGTAGGTAACACAAGCAAAAGCGGAGAAATTCTCAAATCTCTTTTACTTGGTAGACCTCCACTTACATCCTTATACCCCCACTGCAAAATTCAAGGAGTCATTTGAGGCAGGTTTACAATGAAGAACTCATTATAATTCTGCCTCTTATTCCATTCTATTTAGAATGCTCCAATACAGATCAGTTTGAACACATACTGTGCCTCTGTGAGACAGGCATTAAAGCAAGATTTGATCATAATTTCATTCCATTTAATCATACAAGAAATAATGTAATGCTTTCACAGTATGTAACACTAACTCAGTTTTTTTGGCTTATGTTTCTGCTTGAATTCATAGGTCACACTTAAATATTTTTGCAAGTATACAAGAGATTGACTTAAACAACAGCACTTGAAACAGACACAGACCAAACAGTCTTGAAAGACATGATCAGCATCATCAGATAAGCTCTTCCTTGATGCAGGTCTTGGGTAAAATGCAAAAGCTATTATGGAGCAAATCAAACACCTCCTCGAGTTCCTGCATTGTTCTAAGGTCTTTGAGACATCTATCCCTTCCACAGCAGCAGGCACCTTCCATAGGGAATTCTGTGTATGTCTGGTATCAGTTACAGCTGAGTGAACAAATTCTCATGCTCAAAGCATCAGTTGTAAATCACTACTGTACTAACAAAGCCAAAAGAGCCACGTCAGTTTACAACACAGGACATGACCCATACTTGCAGCCTGGGAAAGCAAGTCAAAGGAAAACTGCTTTTTCTTTTTGTAGCCTGGTTCTCTAATTAGGATTTTTGTCCACACTGTAATTTGGTATTGGAGAGGAAAAAAAAAAAAAAAAGAGCACCATGTACTTTAAGCAGACAAATCACTATGAGCTATAAAAACTTGCTACAGATGAATTTATGCAAACATAACCTGCAAATGTCTCAGATTCTTCAAGATCCAAAAGCTAGGAACAGCAATTGTTGCAAGCACACTGGGAACATCAATTCTAGTCCTTATTAAAATGGCTGGCTAATAAGCACTAACATCTCCTGTGTAGGACTACTGTGATCCTGAAAAATTTGGGGCTCAGGAGATTTGAACAAAAAAAAAGAAAAAAAAGAAAAAAAAAAGAGAGAGAAAGGGGAATAAAACAGCCATCCCATACCTGGACACCAACCTGGCATGAAGGGTCCAAGCAATGAGCACATCGTTTGCCTCCAGGAACAAGTGAGAGAAAGACTTTTGAACTGAAAAAGTGCAAGACTAAGCTCAGATGAAAGACATCAAACTAGAAAACTGTTGCTTGATTATTGTGCAAAGACTAAGTTACCTATTTTGCCACTCTGAGAATGTTTTAAGTGTTTTAACATGACTGTGAAATTGACCTGACAAGAGAAAGGGTAACTCAGCTATAAACTGGGAAAACAGACAGGATGACTAATCATGCAGTTGATAAACAGTTTGCTTTGCTAGAAAAAGAGATCTGACCTTCAACTATTCAGTCCTCCTGTGCCTGCATACTTCTGCTCTGTTCCCTGAAACTCTCCCTACTCTACAATACAGAGACCAACCTCTGGCAGCCAGCTCCCAGGACTACTCCCACTGAAAAGCAGTGATCCCTGATCCAACAGCCTAGAGAGCCCATGCTCTGCAGTCTCCTTCAAAGACCCAAGAGAGCACTGCTCACATATTTTACTAGCATCCCTGTCATGCTAATTTCCTGCCTCTGAAGTCAGAATTTAGGGTGCAGCCACACCACATCCCCCTGAATGGCACAATGATTTCTTGGTGCTAGTCACCTTGTCCTCCTGTGCAGGTCTCCAACAGAAGGACCAGCACTGCTCTATCACCCCAGCAGAGCAAAGGAAAAAAAGATGAAGAGTTCACCTTCATTCTTGAAGGGAAAAATTTCTAAAGGCTTTGTCTAAGAAAAGGAGATGAGCATGACTGTTAGGGACCATCATTCACAAGTACTAATCTCAAATGTTCACCTCAGGAGTCCCTTATGAAAGTTAGCACTAAGCAAAGGGATGGGCCAGAATTTACTGTTCCCTTCAGCTTTATAGAGGGAGAAGGTGTGTTGGGAAAGATTTCAGGCTTTGCCACATGTGAGGAAGAACAGGCCTGTCTTTCTTCATTTGTCAGCATGATTCTTTTCACTAAGCAACAGGTAAAATAAAAGCTTTTTAAAGAGTAAATATTGCCCTTTTCCATTAAGGTTATAAGTTAGAAACCTTCATAACTGGCACACTTTTCCTAGAAGAAGAGGAAGAATTTTTTCTATAAGCAGACAACAGTTCTCTGGTTTGCCTGTTTCTGTGATCAGCATTTCAATGGCAAACCCCTCCCAGTGCAGGGTTAGGTCAGTGGTTTCAGCAGTCTGTCCAGAGCACAGAGAACTGAGTTCTGAACTGGACTGATCCAGAGACACAAATAAACTTAAACGTGAAGTAGGCATGACAAAGTCATGCAAAGGATTTCTAATGCCTTGACCCACCATGAACATTCACAAGCCCTAACAGGCATTGCAAGAAGACCTAATCAGATTTGTGATACACATTTGCACTTTCTGCACAAGAACAAGGAGCAAGTTTTCTCCCATAGACATTTCCACTCACCTAATAGATCAACTAAACAAATTGCTCTAAACCCTCTTCCCAATTGGCTCTTTGAGCATCTAAAAATCACATCTAAAAGGTGGCAGACAAACAGTATGCTCTGAAGAGACAGGAGCCACACAGTCCTAGATGTATTTGATGACACCAAATCAAACACACTCCACCAGCTCACACGACTGAGCAGGTTGGAACCTCTTGCTAAATCCTTATCAGTACACAGCAAAAGTCCAAGCCAAAAAAAAAAGCCACATGATTGCTCCAAGTCTCAAATCACGTCTTGTTTCTGAATCTGTTGCTGAGGAGATTTTAATTCCAAAACCCCCGTGCTATAAATCACTTCATGGCTGAAAAAAATAACTGTGGAGGAAGTGTTAACACAGTGTTAGGTTTCCCTGGGACTTAAAGAGCTCTGTGAGAAGACACCTTCTTATAAAAACCAATCCTCTTCTGAAGAGAGTGCCAAACATGGTCCTTAAGAAGAATAACACACATGCCTTAAACCTGATGTCCTGATGTCACCTTGACATTCAGGCAGCTCTTCCCAAGGTTTGCTCAATGATTCAAAATGGGAAGAATCAGCATTCCTTAGTATAAGGACAGAGGGGAAAAAATCATAATTTGCCAGGTTAACAGAGTCAAACGAGATGTTGTTTGTGACAATATTTTTTTCCTTTCAGAGCTACACATCTGTGTGCATTCACACACAGGCATGAATAACTTGGCTATGACACTGACTATCAAGATGGATAGATAAGATCTCTAAACAGGAAGCAGTAGCACTAAGATCCCTTCCTTCCACCAAGGGGAATGGTGCACCTGGCATGCTCAGGTGATGACAGGGTACCAGCAGCACAAGGTACACTCGCCTCAGACAGCAAAGGGGCTTCCAGTGATCCTCAGCATGGTATCCTTCAAACACCTTACAGGCAGCACTGCAGGCCCCTCCCTGCCATGAAGCCATGCCACTCCTGCCAGCTGCAATGAAGTGCCTGTGAGGAAGAGCAAGATGGCTCCTAGATGCCTCTTACAGGATTTCAGCCTTTAAATGGGTGGCACAAATCCAGTCTTCCCCTTGCTGCAGCACACTTTGAGGCACTGAAATGAAACTGCATCTTACCTTGTCTTTGGATAAAAACCCTGAGCAGTGGATGAGCACTTGAAACAGCCTTGAAGAAGTTGTCATCATTGTTAATAGGGAGAAGGTCTCCATGCACATCAGCATATCCGATCATCACTTCCAGGTTGGCTATGTGATGGATGTGAAGAATTAGTTTGTAGAAGTCTTCAAACTTTCCTGGCTTGTAGCGATCCAGAGAGAACCTTCTGAACTCTGCCCCAAACTGCAAGAGAAAGCAAACAGAGCATCAGCAGATGTGTCAGCACAGGCCAATGCTCCAGTTTGGCATTTGAACGTGGTATGGATCACCTCTCTTCAGAGAATTAGAGAGCGACAGGATCAATCAGGTTGGTAAAGACTTCTGAGATCGAGTCCAACTTCTACCATTCAAACCTATTCTGTGGTGAATACAGTCAGATGCTGGTGCTTACAAGTCTACTAGTGGCCTTTTAGGCCCTCCCATCAGAACATAACCATGGCTACCAAGACATCACAGGTACACCCAAGTGTTCCATGCTAAAAGAAATCACATTTTTAAAATATTAAGTTTTCATTAAATCCTCTAGAGGATAACTGCATTTATAAGACTTAACTTTGAAGGTCCATCATTCATTATCATCATCTCAGGCATCCACAGAACCATTCCTCTCCAAAGCAGAAGTATTCACTCTACTGCTTTCAAAAGAAGTTACTCAGCTATTCAAACAACCTTATAAAAATTCTTTGCACGTTTGCCATCAATACCACTGGGATCCCAACCACAAGATCTTTAAAAAAGCATGGTATGTGAGCACACAGCTTGTTATTAGAAAATACACTCACTCTACATGACCCCTGAATTTCTTGGCAACCCGTGCAGCAGAAGGAAAGTTAGTTTTCATGGCTTTATTTTTTCTGTCACTCCACTGGTTTTTATTTTTAAAGCTTTACAGACCATTAAGTGCTTGACAAAAAAAAAAATAGCAGGGGTAGGAGGGTGTGATTTGGCACAAGACAATAGAAAATGTTATAAATCCATGAAGCTGTTTTAAGTAACTCAAAGTGACTGAGGAGAAGATTTCATTGGTCCTTATTTCTGATATTAGAAACAAAATGTGCTGTTAAGAACTGGAGGGAAGAATTTGATCCTCTATTTAAGGAAATTATGATAATGAAAACAGGCATCTAGTTAGACTAAACAGCTTAAATCACCTTTCTGGTACATTTAATTTAATATTTCAGATTGTATGGCATGATTAAACAACTGTTCATCAACCAAACCTCTAAAGCCATCCTAACTCACTCTTGAACACATGGAACCACAGCCACAAATCCAAGAACAAGTAAGGCTGTAACTAGGACCTCATGGAAGTTCTTATTTGCAAAGTCAGCCAATACCAGGGCTTGAAATCAAAGACATTAAACTAACAAGCACACAAAAGAAATAAGAAGGGGGAGAATTTTCTCCAGACAAATTCTTCCTCAAAATGGAGAATGACTTGCTTAGAGATTCTCAGCTGTTAAATCAACTATACATGCAAGCCACTCTTTTGCTGAGACTAACAAAATTATGAATCATCACCATAATCATCTTCAAGCAAAAAGGAAAAAAAAGAAGCCAACATAACCTTACAGGCTTTGGGCACAAGCATGTTCTCAAATTACTTCTGCAGTTATGAAAATCCCACTCTTGAGCATCAAAGCCTAGTTGTGATCATCTGAAAGCCTGTTTAGTCAAATTATGCTGCTTGTTTGTAATATTAACTGCTAGTTCCAGTTTGGATTTCAGAGTGCCCAAATGCACACAAAGCAAGCAAACCACAGCTGGTTTCAATGGAGGAAAAAAGTCTTCCTTTGTCCTCCACCCCCCTGCTCCTCTCCAGAAAAATGCAAGCAGCAACTTACTTCTGTGGACACACTTCAAACTGAAAAGAAAAAGCTGAATTCTTCTTATTTAAAAAGTAACCTGAAGTTTTCTTTTTCTTAGATTCAAGCTAGAAAAAGCCATCTTCCAGTGCCAAGTTTAACGCCTATCTACATGATAAACTAAAGGGGAGACCTTTGTAGGTTCTGCTTAGAGCTGCATCGACTGTTCTGCATACCTGAACAGGAACCCAGGATTCCTTGGGATTCCCTTAGCCAAAATGCCCGGGCACTCAGACACCAGTCCCAGTAACCATTTGTTTACTGGACAGCTTGTTGAGGACCATTAGCACCCACGGTACTGTGGAGGAAGCAGCTGCTGTGCAGTCTTACCCCAGGCAGCACAACACCCACCCCTCACAGCCCCCCTGCACCCATGGTCTGCTGAGGGAACCCATCCTGCTCTGCCCAACACAGCTGAGGCAGAGCTCAGGACACTGCTCCCAGCAGGAAAGTGACATGGAAAAGGACAGAGGAGAGAACCAAGGATGGTCACTTGCACTTGGCTGGTATGACCCAAAGCTCAGCTTAAGTCACCCCATGAGAAGATAGCTGGCAAAAGGGCCAAGCCTCCCAGCCTAGCCCCTGCAGGCACACTGGAAACTACTGATCAGTGGAGCCTGACATGTGGGAATGCCATTGCAGGCTTGGGGCACTGACAGGAATGCTGTCCAGTCAAATTGACCTGTTCACATGTTCAGCCTTAGGAAAGCCCAAGAGTCAATTTCATTTGCCTGGGAATAGCACAATAGTAAACAAATGCGAAAGATTTCACTTGTGCTTTCTGCTTTTTAAGGCAAGGGAGCTAGAAGGTGGTTCTGTAGAGGAGAAGGGAAGAATCAAGAGATTTAAACAGATAATGAGAATGATTTTCTTTTTGTTTAAAAGTTAGTATTACCGTAGTAATAGTTTAGCTGATTTATTCACCCTGTGCATATAGACAGGCAGCCACCATTGTCAGCAGGTCTTTTCAGAAGAGGGGAAAAAACTGCTTCAGCTCATTCATCATTCCTAATGAGGCTGATAGAGAGTATCACAGTAATAATGGGGTTTGCAGTGCCACTCAGCTTGGAGACTGGGTGCTCTGCATTGTATTCAGCCAGGATTTCAAGATAACATCCACCGTGTATCTTACAGAAACTACAAGTTCTGATAGCCAAAACTACTGATCTGCTTCTCTAAGCCACAAAGTTCATCTTATCATATCCCTTCACTGAAAGATACACAAGGACTGGTGCCTGCCAAAGTCTCTGCCAGAACAATACTGTATTTCACTATTTGATAAATTAAGAGTTTTAACAAGCAGATTAGTTTTCCATAATGAAGTAAATTACTCAGGCCTATTTAACTAATGCAAATACTACATTCAGTATTGCAGAAGTCAGAGGTCAGGAGGAATGGAGAGAACTTAAAAAGAATTCAGTCTGACAGAGCTTATTATGACTGAAAAAAACAACTTAGAAAAAACTGTATATTTTGTTTCACAAAAATAACCTCTGCCCCAAGTTCCTCAAAGTATCAGCCAATCAAACAATTTGTTGTCTGCAGTTTGATGACAAAAAGCACACAACAAAATGCAACACATTGGGCAGGAGCCCCAAACAAAAACAGATGCCCAGAAAACTGTTCTGATAAAAGTTGTGTTAAAGAAGAAGGAAGACCCAGCTAGCTGATCAAAACTTACACAGGATGATCAAGAGCAATGAACTGCTTTCTTTGGCTTTTTTTCTGGCAAAAGGGTACAAGAGGTCAGAGGAGATGAGGGAGCAGGATTTTGAGGTTTGTTTACTTAGAGAGCTGTTGTTTTGTGAAATGAAGGAGTTATTTGCAAGCAAAAGAGGGCAACTCATTTTTTTTTCCTTTAAATTTTAAGTTTCAAGATGTTTACAGGGCCAAAAATGAAGCCCTATGTTTATGAGGTGCCATCCCTCTAGTTTATTGCTGACTTTGAAATCAGGCCATTGTAATAAGAAGACATCAAAGAGCAACATTTAGCAATAAACATGAGTTACATTACCCACCTACTTCTCCCATGAAGTAAAAAAATCAAGAACAGAAAGAAAACTAAACACTTTCATCCTTGCATGGACTGTAATTTCTGCTTACATCTGAGATTTGCAAAACTGGGAAGACCTAATCAGGCATGCTTTATCAGTGAGAATGAGCAGAGGGCAAGAAAGAGGAGGGAAATGTAAATGGTTTTGTGCTTGCTGACTTCACCTGGGACTTCAGAGCTCTGCTGTCACATTCATGCCTCTGTGTCTTTGTTTCCTTTTTCTCCCCCAGTTACACCTTTCCCAGCTCACACAGCATTCTCTGGCTCTGCTCCCAGCCTCAGAGTGGCTGTCACTAGTGGCAAGAAGCCACCAAGCAAGCAGATGCTCTCTGCAACAAGTTTTCTCTTCAATGGCTTGCTCCAGAGCAGCTCTGCTTCACTAAAACAATCAACCTAGTGGAAAGTGTGAGATTTTCTGCTCAGATGTTGCTATCTCTTTCAAGAGAGAGTCACAAGAGCAAGACAGCTTTTCTTCTGTTTGCCCTTCACAGAAATCCCATCAGGGGCACAATTTCACTAGCTTCAGCCCCAAACTTTCTTCCTGATTGACATCATGCCATACTTCCACCCTTCCTCCTTCTATTCCCTCCTTTTACCCTCCCAGAGAAACACAGCCACGCTTTAGTATCTTAAATTCTTACAATAGTTTCTCTTACCAAAGAAAATCAGCGGCTCCCCTTTTTTCCTGCTTCTCTGACACAATGTTTCACATCTCTGTTTGTTTAAAGAACAGTCTTTGTAACTCCTTCAGCCCTCTCCAGGGGTCTGTAAGGCTCAGCTCAGGACACTGAGCACTCTCTTCTGCATCTACTTGGAAGAGAAATTCTTCACTCTCAGTTCCCATCACCCTCAGACCACCTTCTGCTCCTGAGATGCACCTTGCATTCAGTCTCACAGATGCTTGGCTGTCAGCTCAAGGGCAACTTAAAGCCAAAGTTACCCTTTCCTCTGCCTCACCTTATTTCACAACTTTAGAGAACTAGACCACTACACTGCTTGTTTAGCCTCACCACCGCATGGCAGTCTGCGAAAATAGTTATCCACAAAAACAATTTTTTAGCCTGTTTGTTTGTAACCATCATCCCTTTCTTTGCCAGCCCTGCTCCAGTAGTTCCTCTCCTATCAGGCACTCATGTAGCTGCTTTCTCCCTACCATCCCTGTCAGCGCTGCCTCCAAGCAGCACACTGCCAGCCTTCCTCACTGCCTCACCTCCTGATATTTAAACCCCTGGTGCCACTCTCCTTCAAGAAACAATTGTTTGCAG